CAAAAATAATATTCCATTATAAAGATGTGCTGTCTGATATGGATGGTCATTTAGGTTGTTTCTGGTCTTTACCAACTAAGGATGCTTCAGTAAGTATCTTTGTATATAAGTATTTGCATGTGTGCAACTCAATTTCTCTTGATTTTTATTTGCAAGCTCATATTGTGTAACTTTCTGACAGCACAAGAAATTGGCCAGAAGGAGAGAGACAATAGGAATATATTAGAAATGCAGAGGCTTATTCAGAGCTTGTGTACACCCCAGACATCTCTTCAGATGCTTTTTTGAGTGCTGTATCTCATGTTTCTCATGTTGCTTCAGAATATTATGTCCTGAAGCTCCTGAATCTTTTTTTCTGTGTGCCCAGTGAGTGATGGATGGATACGGTTTACAAGATTGATTCATATGGCATGTTTGTTTGGCTTCTGACAGGTTGTTTATAAGAATAATGACATCCGTCTGGAGCTGTCTCGCCTGGCCCGGATTGGGGACACCAAGATGAAAATCTATGGAGAAGTTGTATTCAAGTGTGAGAATGTGGCCACACTAGACCCCATCAACTTTGAGACCCCAGAGGCTTACATCAGCTTGCCCAAGTGGAACACCAAACGTATGGGCTCCATCTCCTTTGACTTCCGCACCACTGAGCCCAATGGCCTGATCCTCTTTACTCATGGAAAACCCCAAGAGAGGAAGGATGCTCGGAGCCAGAAGAACACAAAAGTAGACTTCTTTGCCGTGGAACTCCTCGATGGCAACTTGTACTTGCTGCTTGATATGGGCTCGGGCACCATCAAAGTGAAAGCCACACAGAAGAAAGCCAATGATGGGGAATGGTACCACGTGGACATTCAGCGAGATGGCAGATCAGGTAGGAAGCGACTAGAGGAAAGCTGTAGCATCTCAGTTTCCTGGCTTTATATTTTTTATTCTAATTCTTGCACTTGCATGCTTATTGATTCTGTTGCTGTTCCCTTTAGTGGTTGTTGAGATTGTGTTTCTGAACACGACACCTGTCTCACAGATGGCTCACCTTCTCCACTCGTCTCCCCTGTCACTCATTGCACCATTGTCTCAGAGTGATAGCTCTAAGACCCTGGGGCTAAGAATGGTTTTACATGTAGCATTTCCACTGCTACCAAAGTGACTGTCATGTCATTGATGTGGTATTCCCTCCCCTTCTCTTCTTCTCCTTTTTCTCATTACCATGGAAACCAATTGTGACATCACAGATGCTGCATTATGTGATTACTCTGTAGGATAAGCTTCACTGTGCAAGAGTTTATACAACAATAGACCTTTCAATAATTGGCAAGAGTCACGTTGCAGGGAGAAATTATGACAAGAAAGGAAAAGGCAAATTGATTTTTCCTGAAGTCATGTTCAGTTTAAAGCCTCCCTTTGGTGTGAAAGCCTATATTTCACTCTTTGCTCAGACCTCACTGACTCTCCCTTCCTCTTCATAACCTTTTACATTTGGTTTAAATGGCTGTGTTTGTTTCTGCAGCCGCAGATCAAACAAGCTAGCCCCGGGCAGTACATAGTCACTCTGGAATAGTAACAAAGAGAGAGGGGGAAAAAACACAAATAGAGAGTCTGGGGCTTTTGAATGCCTGAACAGTCTGCTTAGCTTTCTATGGACCATGTGCAATGAAGGTCACATCATGTGCTGTCAGAAAGGGCATTTCCCCAAGAGCAGCGATTAGAGCATTTGAATTTCAGACAATTTCCTGATTCTCTATTTAGGTAGTATATACTCAAGAAGGGTCTTAGCTACATTTGCCATATTTGTAGGGATTCACTCCCTTTGTGAGCTTTAAAAAAGCCATCATTTGGATATTTTCTTTCTAGGTGCATTTGGTCAGTAAGACAGAGCAATAGATGCCCCAAAAGGCTGAAGCCAGGAATGGCTGAGCTTTGGTGGGGTGACTTTCTGCATAATTCCAGAGCTAGAGCAAAGGCAGAGATGGGCAATGTTGCCTTTAGGAAAAGCTGGATGGGTTCCATGCAGAGGGCAGATGGGTGGCAGATTGCAGCCCTGGATGTTTTATTGCCCAATAGGAATGTTTATTGATTGTCTGAAATCTGATCGGAACTAAGAGGCTTCAAATTAAATGTGCTTGTTGAGCAAGAATGAACAGTTTGTGCTTTTTTTTTTAACAGAAAAATGCACAAAATTAATTTATCTGAAGGCTTAATCTCTGTCTCTCTCTCTCTCTCTGTCTCTCTCTGAGTTTATCAGTAGAAATTCAACAGGGGCAGAGCCAGAAAGCTGTCCCAGAATTACATAGAAAACATTGCTGTTGGTTTTTAAAACCATGCATTTGGGGTCTCTGGAGTTGGGTTATGGTTCAAGAGTATTGTCTGACTAACCTAGACCTTGACACAGCTTAAAAATTACTTATGTGGTTACGCACAGGTTAGAACACTCAAAATTGCTATACGTTTATTTCTGTTTATTTCCAACACTTATTGCACTAACCTAGACCTTGACACAGCTTAAAAATTACTTATGTGGTTACGCACAGGTTAGAACACACAAAATTGCTATAAGTTTATTTCTGTTTATTTCCAACACTTATTGCTTTTTGAAGTAGGGTAGCTATTTTGTTTTGTTAGAACCATCAATGGACCCATCTTTGACAAATATATTAGAATTTCAGAAACCTTGAATTTCATGCCTGGGAGCTATCACATAGGCCTATTCTTTGAAGTACTGATACATTTGATCAAAGCCTACAAAAATTTACTGAGTAAACAAATAATTGTCCCATGGAAGCAGTGTAACTTTAAATTTTAATGTAATATGTTAAACTTCATTTCTGCATCCTCATTTTCTGGTGCATTGTTTTTAGTTATAAACCTATACTAAAATGGATAGTTACAGAAACGAATGCATATAAGTGAGGTGCTTCCTTCTCTGATAATCCTGAAGAATATGACTGCGAGGATCTAGAAAAACTTTTATGGCCACTCTCCAGTTGGGGAAGCGAGTCTTAAAACTTGATAACTGCATTCAAAACAGTCGTGGTCACACATTCAGAGAACAGATTTTCCTCAGAATGTGTATTTAAGGCTTCAAAATTTAAATCAATTCCAGTACCATCCTTACTTGACAATAGACATCTCTCCCCTTTAGTTGGTGAGCAGGTTAGCCCTGTGGACATGAGGAGGGTTAAAGAAAGAAAAATGTGCAAGAGAAGATAATAAGAGACATGAGCCTGAACTCCCTCATTTGTGAAATAGAGAAAATAATAACTCCTACCTCACAAGATTGTTTAAAAAGTCAAGTGCAAAAACGCACATAAAATACTTAAAATGGAGGCCAGGACATTATTGTTGTTATGTAGGTGTTTGAAAGATTAAAAAACAGAAAGGCAAAGCGTGTTTCTCCAGGAGGAAGTGGGGAAGCCGGTTGTTGGCTTCAGCTCCCCAGCCCCAGAGGCCCCATAACCATGTACTCTCCTGCACTCGCGCTGATGCTGTAATTTAGAACATTCTGCCCATTCTTCATCTCATCTGATCTTCTCGGCCCTTCAGGCTTATGCCCTTCGTAGCTGAGGGAACTGAGGCTCAGACACAAGTGAAGGCTGACTGATGGATGGTATAACCCAGTTATCTTGGTTCCAGTGAGGCACTTCAAGAATAAAAAATTAAAGAAAAAAAAAAACTGGCAGGATGTTTGTATATCATCTAGTCCATTTCCTTGATTTTATAATTTAGGAAATTGAGCTAAATCCCTTTTCCCAAGTTTCTACATCAGGCTCTAGGGTCATATCTTCTGTAATATCATTGCATGTGTGTATAATCCAGCCACTGCCTGGGTGCGCCTCTCTCTCACCTTATCTCCTGCTCCGTCCCTCTTGCTTCCTCCACTCTCGCCACACTCCTTCCCACTGCTGGGTCTTTGTAGGTGCCATTTCCACCGCCTGGCATGCTCTTTCCCCTGGACTTTGAACAGTTGGATCCTTCTCAACATTCTGGTTTCAGCGTAACTGTCACCCCCAGGGAGGCCTTCATTGGCCTCTACTTTACACCTCTACATTACAGAAGAACCCATAGGCCGCTACCACAACACCCATTTTACTCTCTTCACTGCACCTGCCATTAACTAATCTCTCTTGTTTATTGTGTTATTTGTTTATTTCCTGTCCCTGTGCTCCAGAATGTCAGCTCAGTGACAGGACAGATATGCCTATAAAGTTCATTTCTCAGCTGAACCATACCAGAGACAGAATAGGTGTTCAACACATATTTATTAAATAAACAAATAAATAAAGAAACATGTTCCAGTTAAAATTTATCAAAGGCAACATGCAAAATATTTACTGGCAGGGCTGATAGCTAATGCCCAGTCTACAGGGTGGTCAGTGTATAGAGGGAGGGACAGGGAGGAAGTTCCATCCTTTTGGGGATGGCCAGCCCCTGAAGAAGACTCAAGAAACACATACAGAGGCCTTATTCTGTCCCAGGCACTAACAGAAGCACGTTACATATATTAACTCATTTAATCATCACATGAACTTGCAAGGCAGAACTGATTATTTTCCCATTTTATAGATGAGGAAGTTGAGGCATAGGAAGGTGAAGTCACTTCTTCAAGGTTATCAGCTTGTGCGGGGTAGAGCTGGGATTTAAACGCAGGCACAAACTGTACTGTTCTCAACCTGTAGGGTGTGCTCCCTCCCAAGGGAGCCAAGACTGTTCTTAGAGAAAAAGTATACCAGGTGTTAGGCCTCTGAGATTTTCCTGGGTCCTCTTACGAGCCAGGTTTTCTTAGCTGGTAGAGATTGGGACCAAATGGCCTACAGTGTCCTTCCTGCCCTTTTGCAGAGTTTTATTTCTTTGCCTGCATTGTTCTTTCCCGGCCAGGCAATACTGGTCTCTGAATTCACCTGCTGGGCTCCTTTCCTTTGGTTAATCAACTGGTGGTCTCACCTGAGATGTCAAGAGAGCTGTAAGGTCACTCTGCGTCCTTCCTCCCGCTCCAGGTACCATATCTGTGAACAGCAGGCGCACGCCATTCACCGCCAGCGGGGAGAGCGAGATCCTGGACCTGGAGGGGGACATGTACCTGGGCGGGCTGCCAGAGAACCGTGCCGGCCTCATCCTCCCCACCGAGCTCTGGACCGCCATGCTCAACTACGGCTACGTGGGCTGCATCCGCGACCTGTTCATCGACGGGCGCAGCAAGAACATCCGGCAGCTGGCGGAGATGCAGAACGCCGCGGGCGTCAAGTCCTCCTGTTCACGGATGAGCGCCAAGCAGTGTGACAGCTACCCCTGCAAGAACAACGCCGTGTGCAAGGACGGCTGGAACCGCTTCATCTGCGACTGCACCGGCACCGGCTACTGGGGCAGAACCTGCGAAAGGGGTGAGCTGGGGCTCATGGGTGGCCTGGGTGGCATGCGAGGGGCTGCGGCTGGGTGGCTGGGGTATTACAGATGGACCCGCGGACAGCCCAAGCCTTTGCACTACCTGTGCTTACTTTCTTCCAAAGACGAGTTTTTGGGTTCACTGATTTTCAGGACACCCTTTCTAGTTCTGAATGCTTGGATTTGTTCGGCTAGGGTTGGGTCGCAGAAAGAGAAACCTTTGAATAAATGCTACCATGATCATGATACTATTCTGATTAAATATCTTCTGTTTAGAGAGGATGAATATTCTCTTTTGGGAATCCGGGGGAGGGAGGGGCGGCTAACCGACTGGCTGTTTCATTTGAATAAATGAAAAGTCATTTTCATTGTAGCTCATGCTTCTTTAGTACTTTCTCCATGCTAACTCCTGGGTTAGGCTTTAGAAATATAATATCGAACAAGACAGATCCATCTCTGTCCTTATGGAGCTTGATGCCTCATGAAATATTTAGCCATTAAATAATTAATTACAAATGTGATGAGTTTTATAAGAGGCAGTATAATGTATTGGTTAAGAATATGAACCCCGGGGCCAGACTGGGTGAGAAATTTGGCCTCTTATGGAGTGATGTGAACTTCCTCAAGGTAGTCCGTATCTTTGAGACTTGATTTCCTCATCCGTAAAATGGAGATAATCACGCACCTACCTGGAAAGATATTGATGGTAATTGAGTTAATAGGTTTCTGAAATATAGTAAGCATTTAATAAGCATTAGTGATTGTTATAGTTGTAATTATTGTCATCAACATCATGAAAGAGAAGGTACAGAAAAGTTTGAGAGGTTCTTGCAAGCGGACCCAACACACTGGAGAGAAAGTTTCTGCAAAGAAGAAATATGTAAGGTAAGATGTAAAATACAAGTAGGAGGTAGCTTAGCAAAGGAGTAGGAGGAAGGAGTGTTGCCTAGACAGGAAGGACAGCATATGCCAAGGAACAATGTGAGACATCATTGCACAGTTGAGGGACTGAGCAGGTCCAGACTGGGCAGGATGCTTTGTTCCCTTTGGAACAAAGTCCAGAATGAAATGGGGGCTGCGGGAAGGATATGAGAGGTTGCTGAAGAGGTAGGGGCTGACCCTTTAGAACAGGCCAGAGGAGTAGGAGGAGCCCCTTTCTCTTCACTGCTTTAGTGTCTTACATTTGCGCTGAATTTATAGTTTGGGCGACAGGCAGAAATAAAGTAAAGCTAAGAGACAACGTCAAGACAAGGAGATTCCAGTCTATAGGCTATATCCAGATTGCAGCACAAAAAATTAAGCTGGCTATTCATGGGTTATCTGCCTTTATTTGATATAAAAGGATCATTTACATAGTTATCAAGTTTTTTGCTCAGGGTATAGCTCTAGGGCTTTGAGTTTACTGCATCTGCAATAGACATAGTTCTTGCCCTCAAGAAGTGTATCATTTATTTACCTAGGAATGGAGACATCTACACAAGAAGCAATAATAAAATGATGCAAGGCAGCAGCATGGGCTCTGTTGGGACACCAGAATAGGAGGACATGAAGATTCAGAGAAGGGAAGAATGTCTTGAGACACCTGCAGGGTCTTATCCCTAAAGACCACCAGTGGCCAGATATTATCCAAGTATCAGAAATCTGATGATGAGAGGGATCCTGGAGCAAGCCTGGAACAGGGGCTGGGTGATCAGTGAGAAGGTATTTTCAAGGAATGGTTTATATGGTGTCAGTTGTGTTACCAGTTAAGTACATTTCAAGAGAACTGCAAATTTTTCTTACAATCAGACCAAAAACAGGACAAAGGGCACTGGGGTGAAGGACAAAGGGCTGGGTGATCAGTGAGAAGGTATTTTCAAGGAATGGTTTATATGGTGTCAGTTGTGTTACTAGTTAAGTACATTTCAAGAGAACTGCAAATTTTTCTTACAATCAGACCAAAAACAGGACAAAGGGCACTGGGGTGAAGGACAAAGAGAGTTTTCTTAGAGCTTATGGAATGAATTAAATTCAGATTTTCTGAATTTTCAAAGCAACAACCATTACATGAGCTAAGATGAGGAGGCAGCCATCTGGAACAGAAATAGGCCACATGGGGCTGGTCAGTCTGTCAAGTGCCTGGACTCTTTCCAAATCTCCTTGTAGGGTGGCCTACCCTGGTGCTTGTTCAGAGAGATAGAAAGGTCATTCGACCTCTGCGATGCATAGGGCAGTTTTGGTGTAAGCCAAGGTGCTGTGATCGTCTGTTGAATACAAAGACAGTAGTGTAAGATCAGAAGGTCATATCAGACATCTCTCTTCTTCCTTTTGGGTCTCTTCCTAACTCAAGGGCCTTCTGGTTGTGGGAGGCAGGCAGCAGTGACTGTAGCCAGCTGTGCAAGGTGTTTCTGAGTTCTCCTATTCCAAGGGCAAATCAATGGGAGCTGGTCCAAAATTTGCCAAGTGCAGTGAAAGTCACTGCACCTTTTACATTGTCAATTCTGACTAGTCATTAAAAGGCAGCTGATTGGGGATATATGAGGGACAATTATTCTTGGTATAGTGCAGCCAAGAGTCATCCATTCTGACCAAATGAGAAGGAGCTTAGTGACTTTAAGGCATTTGATCTCTACATCGCTCAAATCCCAGACGGTTCAACTGATTGTTTTGTTCCCCCACTAATTATTTTTTGCCCCTGTATTGTTCCTGACACCATGTTCAGAATGAATCAGTGGAGTGTAAAAATGATAGGACTTCACTCTGCTAGCAAAGAAAATAGAGCTTCCCAATGACACTGTTTTTCTTTATGGAAACTGATTCCTCAGTGGAGACTCTTTTGAGTAGCTTTTCTTATTTTTTCTACATGCAACAGACATTTATTGAGGTCCTAGTATGTTCCAGGTACCATGTTTTATATTAGAAATGCAAAACAAACAAACAAACAAACAAACCAACCCCCCCCCCCCAAACTGACACAATCCCTACTTTTGATCAAGGTGTGTACAGTCCTCCTCACAGGGAGGCAAAGGGAAAGGGGGGAAATGTTTAATGTGTGGTAGATGTTATGCCACATGTCTGTAGGGAAACAATAGGGCAAGCAAGTGCAAGTGGTCACTTCTATATGGAAGAATGATGTTCAAGAGAAGGAGACACAAGGTTTCTTGTATTTTCTTGGCCTCTATTTCTAACAAAACTATGGCCTCTTTATACCTCTGGTCCTTAGTGTCTGCTATAGGTACTTCTGAAGACTGGTAAAGAAAGTGTTTGGCATCCTCTTTATACAGGAATGTGATCCATTTTGGGTTAAGGAATGCTGCCCTACTTACCATAACAACATCAACTTGGTCACACAGTTTACCATTCTGTCTCTAATATTTTTTTCTAGAAGCATTAACCCTAAGCTTTGAATCGATCATTTGTATTAAATATGATAAGCCTAAGACAATTCCTAAGGCTGTGTCCCACCTGGCCCAAATTGTGTCATACTGGGGCTTTATAGGGGGTGAGTCCCTTGGTACTGCTGGGCCCATAACAGGAATAGTAGTGTTAGAAAGAGGCACTTGTATAAAGAAAGTGGAGAAAGCATAGGTGGGATGCTGAAAATTGGAATTAGAGTTGGGCATGGCCCAGAGCAAACACTAGATCAAAATAGCCCAAGAACACAAGCAAAGTGAGTGAACAGATCAGTCTAAGGACAAAGGAGCTAGGAACTATATGAGTATACGAGACTAGGATTAATTTGCATGAGTATCTTTCTCTTATAGTAAAATTGGATGACTCTGGCTTCTCCCCTCGTAAGAGAGTGCTTCTAGTGCCTGTGAAGATTAGCAACTCTAAATCGTGACATCTGAAAATTAGCTTGATTTTGTATTTAGTCTTTTTTTTTTAACATAATCTGTTGCTATTCTCAGAAGATGTAGATATCTCTACCCTTCCCAATTGTTCAGCTCTCGATATTTTGGTTTTTGTTCCTAGTGATGTGGAAGATATCCCCATGACCTAAAAGGCAAAGGCCTGTTTTAGCTACTTAATTCTAATCAGTTTGGTTGAAATGTTTTAATATACTGGAAGACCACCTGCCATTCTGTGAAGTCCTATTGGACAGAGGAAACAGTCTAGCTTATCTTTAGTCTTTGCTGGAGTTCTTCCTTCTTAAGAAGATATGATCACTGGAACAACATAGGCATCTTATCCTTGCTGATGTAGCCAAACAGTTTAATTGAATTAGTGAGAGTCAAGTCCTGGTAAGGCAGGAATAATGACTTCATTTATTTGTAGACCAGCGAGCTTAACTTTGAGGCCACTGCAGATTCTGTCCTCTTCTCTGGATGGCTTTTTCTAAATGTATGCTGACACTTATTTGGCAAAAAAGTAAACAGAGCTCAGCACAAGTCACTTCTATGTCAAGAAAAAAAAAAACCTACAGTACAGTGCTTAGAGGCAGGGTGGCCTCATGGTCAATGGCATCAATTTTAGAGTCAGGTATACCTTTATTCCTGTGTTGGTTCTATCACTTACTGGCAAGATGATGTACAATAAGCACTTGATTCTTATAAGTCTCAGTATCCTTATATGTAAAATGGAGATACTAATACTTACCAGTTAAGGGTCTCTTCATTGCAAGCTACAGAATTGACTATGGTTAACAGTCAAGAAAGTGGATTTACTGGAAGATTACCTGGAAAGGTATTGGCCAAATGACTCTCACTAACTATACCTTTGAAGGGAGGCAGAATGACTCTGGGGACCGCAGGGCATTGTGATTGAGGTCCCCTGACCTTCAGGTTCTGGACTTTTCCATTCAGAGTGTACATTTTCCAAAAGAGACCTGGTTGATCCAGTTTGGTTCATCTCTCTATCCCTCTACCAGTCAGCTTTGTCTAGATGGGCACAGATATGGGAGATCACCCATATATACACGTTGGGTGATTCCTTGAGAGGAGACATATTCGTGAGCTGGAACTATCCCATCCACTCCTGATGTGGTTAAGAGGCTGAATGGGAAAATGTGTTTTAATTG